GCTCCTCCTTGTCATCGGGATGGCTGGGGCTCGGACTACGCGGCCGCGGTGCTCAGCGCCGTTCCCGAGAAGGACTTGCAGGACAGAGACGGTCGGACGCCGCTCCACTGGGTCGCACACAACGGCAACGCCGACTGCGTGGAGCTTCTGGGGGACCGGCGCCGAGAAGGACTTGTAATTCAACTGTGGTTACACGCCGCTCCACTGGGCCGCACGCAACGGCTAAGCCGACTGCGTGGACTTGCTTCGCAAGGCCGGTGCCAAGAAGGGACAGTGGGACCCATCCTCATGCTCGACAAGTTATGCTTTGCTGTGCTTCCTGTTCACCTTCTACTTTGCCAGTTATGTGGGAGGCAACTCACCACCAGCAACCTCTCCATACTGTCCATCGGCATCGTGCAAGGCCAGGCCAGGTGCATTTCAGGGCGGCGCTGCAGAACATCGGCCTCGTGGTGGCGGGGAACGCCATGGGAGTTGCTCTGATCCTGGTCGCCGTCCGATACTTGCAGGTCTTGGATGCTTCATCTTTAGCCGTGGCAGCCGTTATGGCGAAGAGTAAGTGTGCGTACACCTTCGACCAGGCAGTCGTAAAGGCTTTCCCTCGCAACTGGATGGTCTTCGTGGCATATTGGACGGCTCATGTGAGAGGACATCAGGGATAAGATGACTGGGATATGGATTGGACTGTTTATGTATGCGGCTGGGCTTTGAGCACATCGTGACGAACATGTTCCTTCTTCCCACTTCACAATGCTGGAGATGGTTCAGAAGAACCTGCTGCCAGCCTTCTTGGGAAATGTGGCACCTTCTATCGTGGTCGCCGGTCGATCTTTCGGCGTTGTCTTCGGGCATCTCTCCAGACGGCTCCAGATGAAGCCTCCCAGGAAGCTAAAAGCCTTAGTGTCCGGTATCGGCGCGAGGATCTGAGCTGACATCTTTGGCAAGGCAGGAGCTTTGACCGGATCTGCGAGTTTCTCAAGAAGACGGTTTTAGTTTGCGGATCAGAAAGGGTCTTAGGAAACATGCAATGTAGGGCTTAGTTATAGGCATAGTCGGTAGCAGAAGACCCGTAGTGGGGAGAGCCGCTCATTTTGAGAACCTTCGTCTGACTGAGTCCCGGGTCGAAATAGATTCGAAGGCTCGAGAGGAGCCAGTGAATCGGCCAGGTCGAGCTGCAAACCATTACAGTGCTCTCGCCTCGCCTGACTCCGAAGAGTCAGAGCTTCTTGGTTGCTGCTGCAGGTGATTTTGAAGTTTTCAACGGGTGTGGATCCTTCCAAGCTCGCAACTCGCGAGGCCTAGGGCTGGTTGTCCGCACCCCAAGTTTCTTGTTGCCTTGCCACCAGCAGAAAGTCTCAGAAAGCAGCTTTGCTTCCTGCTGCAGCGTTTTAAATCTCTTCCTCACCATAGCTGGCCGAATCAGCTATCAACAAAATTAATCTTATGATCTCTGTGCTGGTTCGATTCGCTGCCCAATGGCTTGTGAACTATATAGGTGTCTAGCTGTGAAATTGTCTCCTGTCTAGAGTGCCGCAGAAGTTGTGGACGGCAGTGTGGGCCAGCACGTGCACAATGTGCATCACGAGCATGCACATATAGCTGCTGTCAGCGCAGCCGCCGGTGATTGAGCAGAGCTGGTCTAAGTATCGGTCTCGAATGTGTTTTTCTCGATCAATTGGCCATTGAGTGATCTGCTTTTGCCCGAACAGACAGGCAAAGGTAAAGTCTCGATGTTACAAGGATGCCCCAGATATTCGCAGTTTTGCTGCCATGCGAAGATCGGTTGGACGACCAGACGTTCAAACATAACTGAGTGGCATGAGCACGTCCAAGTGTGAGAGCATAAACTCGTGACGCCAAACCACATATCGTGTGATATTACGTTATAGGACCGCATTATGTCACAGCATAGCCTATTATGTTAGACTATGTTAGGTTATGCTATATCATGTTACGCTATGTTATATTATGTTATGTTATAGAATTTTGTGACAAGCACCGTATCATTTATGATGTTTGTTACGTCATGTAATTCTACGAAGCCGCGAAGACAGTTTTGGGCTTCGTGCATTGATGCGGAAGATCAGGAGATGCTCACCCGTTTCGCATCGAGTCTGCTGGGCATTGGGATGGCTGCAACTTCTTCTGCAGACAGCTGTCCTGAACTGTAGGGTTTCAGGGTTTAGGGTACACTCCGGTTGCGAGAGTCCTGGATGCAAAAAAAGGGTACACTCCGGGTACAGTTGTCAAATAATGCAAAAATGGTGTTGCTTGAAGAAGTGTACTGGCTTGCCTGATTCGATCGTGTTTCTGATCTGAGCTTCCGGGCCTTCTTGTGCTTCCAAAGTAGAGGATCATCTCGGAAATCCTCGCTACGACTTCTTGCGACCAGGCCTTTGGTCCTTTGGAGCATAGGTCCTCATAGTCCTCAAAGGTTTTCATGTTCTACACTTCCATAGTACTTGTAGAGTTCGTTCTTCATCCGATCAGAGTTTGCCTTGAGCATCGTAGTCGACTCGAAGCCGTGTGCTTCTTTATCCCACACCCTCAGCCCTAAACCCTAGCTGCTTTGTCTCCAGCTAAACCAAACAAACCCCGCTGGTGGGCATAGATCCTAGGAGTGAGCCCACTGTCTCGTCGTGCTGTGTATGTTGGTGTGCATTGTCTTTTGGTTCTCACACCTTTCCTTTGTTTTTTGTTTTCTATGTTTGCTGTTTCAACAAGGAATCCAGACATGTCGAGTAGCAAGCTGAGTGGACTTGGCATGGATCCCAGCTCGAGTTTGAAAAGATCACCCACATCCTGCTTCGAAGAGAATACGGTTCAGTGTAAAACAGTATAGCACAATTCAAACCAAGCCAGAACAATATGACATGGCACGATGCGATGCAATAAAAGACAACACAACCTGATGCAATACCAAGCAACACGATTCATTGCAATACGGTGCAGCAAAATGCAATATCATAATACATTACAGTTTAGTATAATGTATTACACTGGACAATACAATACTGTGAAAACTCTAGCATAATATAGCAAATTGTAGTGACATAATATAACGACTATCAGATATAGTATAGTAAGTATAGTATGATAGTGTAATGCAGTATGATATGATCTGGCATAATATGATATAAAATCATATACCATAAACGTAATGTAATGTACCATATGTTAATAAAAAGCCATATTATATGTGAACAATATTGTCAATACATGGTATTGTACGACATGGCATAATATATCATAGTACCGTGTAGCATATCTTAATACAATTTTATATTATAGCATGAGACTGATAATATGATCCAATATTTTCAGAGCGTCATTCAATAAATTGTGACACCAACTTTGTTCTATGATTGGGGTGTTGGTTGTGAACGATTTGAATGTCCAGAGAGTTTCTAGAAATCGTTCTCCGTCCAGAAGGCCAGAACCACCGTAGTCCACTTCATGGCGCGCCGTAGCCTCGAGCTGGACGAACTAAATGGCAGGATCCTGCACACCCACACACCCACACACCCA